TAAGCTGTGGTCCTGGTTCTACGTGCACCTATCAACCGAATGAGAGCCTGAAACATTCTAGATTCAAATTGAGAACCACGATCTGTGGTCACAATTGCTGGGACGCCAAAACGGGAAATCCAATTTGCGTAGAATGCGTTTACAATGGTGTCTGCATTAGTGTCTCTGATAGGGATGGCTTCTGGCCACCTGGTAAATCTGTCTATTGCGGTCAGACAGTATTGGTATCCGTGAGACAGTGGCAGTGGACCAATGATGTCGAGGTGTACCTGAAATCTGCTATCCGGAATTCGGATGTGTTCCGGAAGGTTTCTATTATGCCTCTGGATCTTCGCGCGCTGGCATGCCACGCATGACTTCACATTCTGCGATGTCTTTGTTGAGACCCGGCCAGATAAACCGACACACAATTAACTCCTTGATGGCTCAAACTCCTGGATGCGATAAGCGATGTACGGTGTTATATATGCTGCGACGTAGAATTCGAGGTATGTATTTCTCTAGTGGAAACATCACAATATATAGTGTGTTCGGAGTCGTCCAAACGTAGTTTGCGTAGCTGTAGGTTTGATGTTGATGTTGTTATAAGGTCTTGAAGTTCTTCATCTTCTAATTGCTCGCGTGCGATGTCCTCAGTTGAAACGATTACTGGCATGGATATCTCTTGGATGCGGGACAACGCATCTGCAACCGTATTTTTGTCCCCAGGTAGGTGAATTAGGTGAGTAGTAAATTGAGTAATGTAATCTAATTGTCACAACTGTCTCGGAGATGTTCGCTCCGATCTTTGATGGAAGACATATATTAATGGCTTATGATCCGTTGCTATGATGCATTCACGACCTTCTACAAGATGGCGGAAATACTTTAAGGCTTTGTAAATTGCTAGAAGCTCACGATCATAGGTACTGTAATTCTTTTGTGTTTCTGTTAATTTTTGCAAAAAGAAGCTCAAAGGTACGTACTTATCTCCTTGAAATTGCGCGGGCGGCACCGATCGCCGTATCTGAGGCGTCTGTTTATAAAATTAGTGGTGCTCCTTCTTTTGCGCAAGGAGGGTGGCTTCTTCCAGTTGTCTCTTACATTGTTCAAAAGCCTCTTGCGTCTGTGGTGTCCAGGATATCTTCTGTTTGTCACCTTTTCCTGTAACATTCGCGAGCTTATGAAGTTGTGCTTGATAAAGTGCTGCACCTTTAAGCATTTGGCGATAAAAATTGATGAAACCAAGAAATCTACGTAGTTTCTTCACTGTGTTGGGCTTTTGGTAGTTTTTGATTGCGACTATGCGATCCTGGAGAGGGGCGATCCCATCCTTATTGATTATGTATCCCAAGTAACGGACTTTCTCTGCTCCGAAGGTACATTTCTCCACGTTGATTGATAATCCGTGTTGCTGCAGTCGTGATAAAATTTCGCGTACATGTATTGCGTGTTGCTCTGGTGTAGTGGATGCAATTAGGATGTCATCGATATAACAAAATGTGTAGTCTATTCCTCGGAGTACGATATCCATTAGGCGCTGGAATGTTTGCGTAGCATTGCACAAGCCAAAGATCATTCTGTTGAACTGAAAGATCAAATGGGGTGATGACGGCAGTCTTTGGTCTGTCTTCTGGTGCTACCGGAATTTGGTGGAATGCTTTGTTTAGATCTAGCATCGTAAAAATTTTACATCCATGCAGGCGATGTGTGAAGTCGTGTAAATGAGGAACCGGGTATCTGTCAGGTGTTGTGATTTTGTTTAACCGTCGATAATCACCGCACAGTCTCCAGGTTCCATGAGCTTTCCTGACCATATGTAATGAAGAGGCCCATGGGCTTGAGGATGGCTCACAGATGCCCTGCTGGATGAGACTTTGAAATTCAGCGCGAGCTGCTTTGTAACGGTTTGGCGATAGACGTCTAGCACGCTCTGCTATTGGATGTCCGGTAGTAATTATTTGATGCTGTACACCGTATTTGGATTCTAGGCTTCTGATTGGACGTGCGACTTCATCAAATTCTTGCAGAATGCTTTTAAAACAATTGTTGTGACTGATTTTCGTTAGGTTTAGAGTGCTGCACGTTGTGATTGCTCCCAGTATATATAGCTCAGTCTCCGAGTCAATTAATCGACGGTTGTCGAGAGCGACGAGTAGTTTAAAATGTTTCAAAAAATCGGCATCCAATATTGGCTGTTGTACATCCGCTATAATAAACTGCCAATCGAAATCTCTGCGCAGTTTAAGGTTAAGTCTTAACCTGACTTCTCCGTAGGTAGGAATGGCACTGTCGTTGGCTGCATAAATTTTGTACTTGCTGCGAGTAGGTTGCTTCTTTGCAGTGGATTTAGGGAGTACCGAGACATCTGCACCTGTGTCCACCAAAAAGTTCAGTCTTGAGTTTTGATTGAAAATTACGAGGCGATTTGATGTTCCGTTAATCCCCTTAGCCGCCTCTATATACGGAGACTTTATTGGTTTTCCTGTTGCGACTTGGCTCCTGCGGACCATGAGCAAGGAGTTTGGCACTTTCTCGCACTAGCCCAAACCTATTGTGGTAGTAGCACATTTCAGATTTGTTTGCATAGTCTGGCGTAGGAGTGATGGCTCTAGTGTGAATCTTTCTTCCTCTATTTCGAGAGCAACGAAATCGTTTGGTGCGATTTAATTGCTTCTGTATTTTGGCAACCTGCAAAGTTAGCGCATTAAGTGACTCTTCTAATGTGGGTTGCGTACCTGAGTTCTCATGCGCTCTTGAGCTTTTCGCAGGGACAATCTGGGTTGCTGCTACCGTAGGCCTTATTACGTCAAGTGCCTTGTCAGCCATCTCCGCCAAGCGTTAAAGATCACTTGTGTCTGAAATTGCGAGTATTGCTCGTGTGGGGGTCTGGCAGCTGTTCAAAGAATAATGAACGTATAACGGCGTCTCCACACTGGTTTCTGGCGAGAGTTCGCAGACGGTGGAGGTAAGCTGTTGGTTTTTCATTTCGCATCTCGTGTCCGCGGAGTAGTCGGCGGAGACGTGCTTCGTCTCCCTCGTCGTATGCGGAAATAACACGTCGCTTAATATTCTCGTATTTATTTTTGGTTGGCGGATTAAGGACGAGGTCTGACACGCTACGTAGTGCTTCTCCGGATAATTGTGTGGCGACATACCTGAATCTTGTTGTGTCTGAAGTTATATTGAAATTGGCAAATACTAGATCTACCTGGGCAAACCATAAGCGTGGATCGGCTTGATAAAATGGCGGCAGTTCCACATGACGAGAGAATATTAGCGAAACTCCTCCATTGGAACTGTCTCTCTAAAGTGACTGATCGCCGCTGAAACGACTAGCAGGTGCACGTTCTCTACCTCGGGTCCTCTTGTAGGTGATCTATCTATCGGCATCTTATTGTTTCTTTAAGATGTTTTCCGCTGTGGACGTTATGCGCAGTAGTGATTGCACGCTGTTTTTTCTGTGTTTCCCATGCTCGTATCACATCGGGGTTACCAATTTATGTGGCGTAGGTTAGTGCTTTACCCTAGGTATATTGGTTGGGTCGAGACAAGGATGCCTTTTTGGTATAAAATTCAGTCTTTATTCTCACCAACTTATATACGACTTAACTTAATTAATCTTTGGAGAAGAACACAGCATATATTTATATATAGATATGACTCTCTAACAACATATTCTTATTCGTTAGGGCTAGTGCGCATGTGCGCGGTACAAAGTTATTAGGGAGCGGCCATAAGTTCTAGAGTAAAGTGCGCTCTCTTTATTTTCAAGGCAACCTGCTTACGTCGGCATATCTTGGGGATGCCGAGAGCGAGGATCTGACTTATCGATTACGGAAGAATTGGGAAGCCGCGAAACTCTATAATAGGATAAATTGATTAAATGAGATGGGATTATTTGAAATGCGTGTGTAATAAGTATCTATTAAAATGGAATTTCGAAATTCTCTATTAATTCCATTAGTTGATCAATATCAATATCATCTGCGATATATTGATCTATGAATTCCAATAGTATATCAAGGATTTGAACTTGTTCATTGGCTGTTAGGGTGAAAAAATCTTTATCGTCGCACGAAGGCTTCATTGGAGAGTCTGTAAATAATTCTCTATCTCACACTGATTTTCCGGTAACTGAGATTTTAATTGAGTTATTAGATCGGCTGGTTTTGAGGAAGGGCTTTCGATAGTATCTTTATATTTGATAATCTCCAAGTAATAATTATAAAAAGAGTCAAATTCTACGTTTGTGGTAATTGCTTGACGAAATTTCCGCGAAGTAAAATTTTCCGGTAAATAAAAGAGAAATTTAGCTTTAAACTTTAGAGCGGATATAAAACTTTCTGGAAGGAAAACCCTTGTGTCTGATTTGACGTAATTAGGTTTTGAGTTTGATTTTAATCTTTTATTTCGATTTATCTTCTTTTTCGACGGAATCGAGAAATATCGCGATATTCACGAGTTATTTTACCTGATCTATGCTTTTTTTTAAATTTTAATTGTGAATTCACCATCTAAGGAATTGATGTCAGTATTGATTGAGGAAATTAGTATGTATTTATTTTTGTTATTGTTATTATTATTATCTGGATCAGCGTCAGCGCAATTTATTAAATTGTGCAGTTAATTCTTGTGATTTTAGTTCAACTGAAACGTCAAGAAAGGAATAAATTATAAGAATGTGGATGTTTCCGGCATGATAGTGGATGCTCGGAGACGACGGGACTTTAAGGCAGAGTAACGTTATGATAACGGAATTTGCATAAGGGTAAGGAAATTAGAATGCATCCGGCATGGCAGAGGATGCCCGGAAGCGACGGAAAAATGGGAGAAAGGACAAGAAGATTTTCGGACGGCACCGCGAAGATGCTGTATCCCTGTATAAGGAAAGACGTTTGTGTTGGTAACAGTAGATTGTATCAATCCAAATTTCGTTTAATACATTCCGTGAAACGTCGATTAACGAATTAATTTAGGAAGTTGAATGCCTCCGGCATGACAGTGGATGCCCGGAGACGATGGAAATCTGGGGTCGGCTAGAGCTGGTAATGAATTTTTTTGGAATAAAAATGGGAGAGTATAGACGTTCCCAGCATGACAGAGGATACTTGGAGAGATCCTAAGGGAAAGGAGCACCCGACGCTTAACGGATGAGAGCTGTATTAGGGATTTTGATTAATAATTACCTTGACGCTTGCCAAAATAAAATGATAAGTTATTGCAACCTTTAGGTTAGGTAGGAAAAGGAATACTATCAGCAGCGTGCTAGTGCTTGACAGTATTCCCACAGGGCACAAAGACGTCTAAAAGACGACTAAAACTGGACATATTTTCGTCAAAGACGTCTTTTAGTTAGAGACAATAATCGACGAAAAGTCGACTAAAAGTCGACTCATGACCCGAATTTAGTCACTAATCTGTCAAACCTAAAAATGACTGAAAGATGACTAAAAGACGACTAAATCATATCATAATTTTTAAATGAAACATATATATTTCAATCCCTAAATAATAATATAATTTATCTATTTCATATAAAATTTTACATAAAAATTTTGTATAAAAATTTTATTTATAATTTATACTTGTGTTACGTCCAGAGGAGCTCACGATTCTTTTCTTTTCCTTATCTGGTGCACATGTGCACGACTTCCGAAAATCGTTAATGATAGTTAAATTGAAGTAGGATTCTCAGTAAATACTCCAGAATAACAATCAGATATTCACGGACTGATAAAAGTAGCATCTGGCTAAATAAGGCGGTAATCAGTTAGACGAATTTGATATTTTCTGATCACTAAAAAAAACTCACAAAATTCAAACAAGCTACAGAAAATAAAGAAAACTATTTACAAAACGTGAGTGAGCGAATGTCGCGACAAGCACCCGTTTTATATCAAGGGGGTAGTAAAAGTCATCCCCTTATCTCCAACAGATGCATCTTACAAAGCATAAATTATCACCACTTCCGATACTGAGAATCCTAAGTTCCCCGTTTTGGAAGATGCTCTCCTTCGCGGACAAATGTAATTAAATTCTGATTTGTTGCATTTGTTTTAAAATGTTCATAAGTAGGGACAGGAAGGAGACCACGAAAATCTAACGAGGGTTTCTATTCGTCAACTTCCCTTATTCCTCACGATGGCAGAGGGTAATCCAAAACGATATATAAGTGCGAACTTTGGACAAATCGACACTCAAAAACACAGTCAGTCAGACATACATTCATTCTTTCTGCGGTTGCTAGTTCACCTATTTGCTCAGTTATACAGGGTCTACCAAAAGTGTGGAAACCCCTAAATATCTCGGAAAATATACGTTTTACAGAAAAGTGTTTCCAACAAAAGTTGTAGGGTTTAGGAAGATCTATATACTGATTCTATCAGTTTGACCTTGGATGGCGTCGTCAAGGTCAGGTCAAGGTCACATTGACTTTTTTAAATGACACCCCCTACATTTGATTGCATATTCTTATAGCTTAATTCAAGAGCTTTCCAAAACACTATAATAATGTTCATTTTTATTAAGTACTTTGCGAGTTATGAGGGTTGAATGATAGAGTAGCGCCGGTATTAACATTATCCAAGGTGTACTACATGGAGGTTACTCGCTCGGATTTGCATCTGTTGTGTGTGTGATCCAGCTAACTAAGGCAAGATCGATTCCTCAACATATCCTCATATTTCGCTGAAGTCAAATTGCCAAAAAATTGCTCCATAAAACGTGTATGAAACGTCTCGTTAGTTCCTTCATTTACCGCTATGTGACGCACTACATGCAGTCTAACTCGCATTTAAAATTCAACTAAGAATGTATAAAGCTATCAAAGAACGAGCACCTTCTAACTTCAGCTTTGAGCAAGCAGAAATTAATTGTTATCGTCCAAATACAACGTACGATTAATTAAAATTAAACGTTTTAAAAATGGCTGGCGACTTGTCGGAACGTGAAAGAATCACTATCCTCATGATGCGTGGATGGGGTGATAACGAAAGATCGTTCTCTGATGTCGTTCGATTATTTAATGACACGTATCCGAACCGTCGAATTAATAAGTCCACTGTGTTAAAAACAATAGAACGTTTTAGACAAACTGGTAGCGTAAGAAATCGCTCTAAGTCAGGAAGACCATTGTCTGCAACCAACGAAGAAAAACAACTTGATGTTCTGCAGACATTTATTGAAGATCCCAATTCTAGTGTTCAGAGAGTCGCTCAAACTCACGATATTGCTCCCATGTCGGTTTGGAGAATTTTAAAGAAGAACAAGTTCCATCCATATAAATTGCAATACGTTCAAGAATTGCAAAACGGAGATGAGGAGCGTCGTATACATTTCTGTGAAAGAATGATGGCACTAATAGATGTCCGGCCCATCTTCCCTTATCAAATTGTTTTCACAGACGAGGCAACTTTTACCTTAACGGGAGAAGTTAATAATCAAAATTTTCGTTTCTGGTCAGATGAGAATCCGAATTGGGTGCGGGAAACTCACACACAACATCCACAAAAAATAAATGTATGGTGCGGAATAATAGATGGCTATTTAATAGGGCCGTTTTTTTTTGAAGAATATTTGAACGCTCAAAGGTATGAGAGATTACTTGTTGATCAAATAATTCCAGCCATACAGAATACTTTTCCAAATAATTTCCAAGAAATATGGTTTCAGCATGATGGAGCTCCTGCTCATTTTGGTGCAGGACCACGTCGTATTTTAAATGAGACTTTTCCGCTACGGTGGATAGGAAGAAGGAACGGAAATGAGGGAGGAGAGGATTGGCCACCTCGGTCACCAGATCTAACTCCTCTTGATTATTATCTATGGGGATATCTGAAGAGTAAGGTTTACAGAACAAAACCTAAAACCATTCACGAATTGATACAGCGAATAAGGGATGAAATGGCTTTGATACCTTTTGAAACGAATCGTAAAGTCATTTCTACATTCTACCAAAGATTAGCATATTGTCAGGAAGTAAATGGCAGCCACTTTCAGCATTTACTTTAACACATTGAAACACATTTGCAATCGTTTGGTGCAACCTAACCTGATCTCTGTATACACGCACCGCACGCACGCACACGCACACATTTCGAACAATTATTATGATAAATGAGCATCCACAAATTTATTTACTGTTTACTATGTCGATTGCTTTCCAGGTCTTTAAATGCTCGATTGTAATTTGGTTGGGTCTTTGCTTTTGCTGACTGGATCCACGACCGATCTTGCCTTAGTTAGCTGGATCACACACACAACAGATGCAAATCCGAGCGAGTAACCTCCATGTAGTACACCTTGGATAATGTTAATACCGGCGCTACTCTATCATTCAACCCTCATAACTCGCAAAGTACTTAATAAAAATGAACATTATTATAGTGTTTTGGAAAGCTCTTGAATTAAGCTATAAGAATATGCAATCAAATGTAGGGGGTGTCATTTAAAAAAGTCAATGTGACCTTGACCTGACCTTGACGACGCCATCCAAGGTCAAACTGATAGAATCAGTATATAGATCTTCTTAAACCCTACAACTTTTGTTGGAAACACTTTTCTGTAAAACGTATATTTTCCGAGATATTTAGGGGTTTCCACACTTTTGGTAGACCCTGTATATTTACGTAGTTGCTCGGTTATACAGGGTGGGGCATTTATCTTGAGACAAGATAATATCTCGATTGGAGTCGATTATTTTGAAAAAAGTTTTAGACAAAAGTTGTATGGTTTCAAGGGGGACATAAAATGGTGTCATTAGTTTGATCTTGAAGAGCCACCTGAAGGACACGCGAAGGTCAGCTCCAACTTTTTAAATGGGACACCCTATATGCTTTTGCATATTCTTGTAGCTCATCTCAAGAGCTTTCCAAAACACTATAATTAAGTTAGTTTTCATTAAGTACTTTCCAAGTTATGAGGCTTGAAATCATTTTTTAATTTTACATAAACCGTAAAATATCTTGTAAAATATTCATTTTTCGATTATTTTACCTTAATACTTTTATGTACAAAATAATGAGAAAAATCAATTGGTGTAAAGAAAACTCATAGTTGTTTCGAAAAAAAAAATGTAATTTGCAATTAATAATTACATATTTTTTCTTAAAAATAACTATGTCTTTTCTTTACACCAATTGATTCCTCTCATTATTTTGTACATAAAAGTATTAAGGTAAAATAATCGAAAAATGAATATTTTACAAGATATTTTACGGTTTATGTAAAATTAAAAAATGATTTCAAGCCTCATAACTTGGAAAGTACTTAATGAAAACTAACTTAATTATAGTGTTTTGGAAAGCTCTTGAGATGAGCTACAAGAATATGCAAAAGCATATAGGGTGTCCCATTTAAAAAGTTGGAGCTGACCTTCGCGTGTCCTTCAGGTGGCTCTTCAAGATCAAACTAATAACACCATCTTATGTCCCCCTTGAAACCATACAACTTTTGTCTAAAACTTTTTTCAAAATAATCGACTCCAATCGAGATATTATCTTGTCTCAAGATAAATGCCCCACCCTGTATATTTGCTTATCGAGTCAGTGCAAAAACCTACACCAAGGGGGCCCAGCAGCAACCACCCTCTTCAACAACTATCAATTCAGCTAATATCTCGCCATCCTCAACGCCGAGGGGGTCCAGCAATAATTCATATCCAGATTTATCCACGCCTTTTAAGTAGTAAGTCTTATTTTTTTTATTTATTAAGTTCCTCTTCACCCATCTTCCCTTATTGATAATATTCGCTTCCCTAGTGGAACCTTCGAGGAGATCCGTTAGAATTCACGCAAAGCGCTTTCGATACCGCCGTAATCGACGTACCCGCCGACTGCTGGCTTGGGCGGCGGCCGACTCTTCATTTGCATTAGACTTAAATCAAATAAACACGGATCTCCCTATTACGCGGATCTTTCTAAATAGTTTTCAAGGAGACACGCGAGACTCCTCACATCCGCCCCCTCGCACTCCTTCCTCTAATTACTCCCCGTACCTGTCTCCGGGAACTCTTCCTCCAAGCTATTCCCCAGTGTGTGACACACAA